CCCCAAAACCCCAAAACCCCAAAACCCCAAAACCCCACATTTTGGAAATAATATTGCAAATAAATTTATTATGAGTTCATCACCAGGAAGAAGGGGATTTGACTTCTCCCTTCTCAACACCACCAAGGTAACCCTTCAGCTACAACTTTAGCATGATATTGTCAAGGGCTTCTGGAATATACAAATGATTGAGGAAGTAAGCTCATCTGCTGAGGTTTTAGAAGCTTAAAAAGGGAATTAAATAAAAACTACTTGAGCTATTACAAGACCTGTAGAAGGCAAAAACTTATGCTAGATCGGAAGAATGGGGTTGAGGCTACTCCAGAGCAAGCCCAAATACATTTCAAACCGAGGAAGGTATATTTTAGAGTAATGGGTATTAGGGAAAGAAGGAATATAGAGAGTATAAGATTCCATCACAACAAGAAATAGAACATAAGCTGAACATGGTCAGGATTAATCATAATATGAGTGCTGATATGTCCCAAATGATGCCTAAAAGCAAGACTTTTGTTGAAAGAGCGACTATTAACAACTGCAGTATTGAGAAGCATCAAGATAAAAAGTTCAAATTGATGACAATTCATCCTGAAAGGTAAATTTACTGTTCTTGACACTGTTGGCAAGTTTAAACATTTTAATTTATAACTAAACAGAAGCAGATCTTTTAAGAATTCTGAAACTCCAGTCTTAGTAAAATATGAAACTGTTGTTCTGTTAACTTCATGTTAGAATCTGATGATTTTTCATTGCTGAAATTAGTTTCATGCACATTATATTTTACCTAAAAATATAATTTCCAAAAATCTTGAACACTTAATGGTCTATAGGATGCATAACAAGACTGATTCCGGACAAAATTCCTTTAGAGTAGATCCAATGAAGCCTAAAACATTCATGAGAGAGCAATCACTAAATTATAGTACTCTCTCAAACGCAAGTAATGATGAAAATGATGAATTACTAAATGAGAAATACTGACTGTTTTTACAAAAGTACTGCTAATAAATAATCAGCATAGACCAAGTAATGAATTCTATCAAAATTTAAGAACAGGAGATTCTATGAATGCATCAATGAAATCAAACCATATTTCTTCGTTTATGAACTCCCTACAAAGCAAATCTATAGAATTGAAATCAAGAAATGTTGATTTAAAGGTCCCTTCGGGCTGTTCAAAGGCATCAAAGCCTAAACCTAGTTACACTAAGTTGGTCCACAAGCTTGGTTCTGGGGCAAAAGTTAATGTAGATAATGTTATCGATGCGATAGTCAAGAAGAACATGATAGTTCGAACATACAGACCAGATTACAGCCAACTCAAAATTTATGAGACTGATTACTCAAAATACAAAAGAAAGATCGAAGCCTTTAAGGCAAATCAGCACAAAGCCAAGTAAGTTTAGATCGATAAGGTTAAGGCAAACTAGGCATCAAGATAGGGAACATCCAGAGGTTTGAGGATATGCCAAGAGGTATGAAGAGCTGAAGAAGAAGTGGACCAAAGTTTTTATGAATCAGAAGAAGAGCACCAGGAGAAAGAGAGTGACAGAAAGAGTGCATAGATCAAGATAGGCGTATATTGCAATTAGATTGATGGAGAAGTTAAGGAATTAATGTAATTTCAAAAAATTTTGAACTAGAAGGGGTTTTGGGGTTTTGGGGTTTTGGGGTTTTGGG